CTCCTCCTCCTCCTCCTCCTCCTCTCCTCCTCCTCCTCCTCCTCCTCCTCCTCCTCCTCCTCCTCCTCCTCCTCCTCCTCCTCCTCCTCCTCCCCCCTCCATCTCCCTCCCCTTCCGCATCCTGCTCCCCCCTCTGAGACCCGACGTCGCGAAAAAAACAACATCGCAAGAGATCACGACCAGAACCGTGGAACTGGGCCCGAATGCTGGCGACAACGCCCAGGATGGAAAAATGCGACACCTGGATCTCGGGCTCTCCTCCCCCTCAATGTCATCCTCCTCCTCCTCCTCCGCCTCCTCCTCCTCCTCCGCCTCCTCCTCCTCCTCTTCCTCCTCCGCCTCCTCTTCCGCCTCCTCCTCCTTCTCCGCCTCCTCCTGCCCCTCCTCCTCCTACGACGAGCACGACGACGACGATCCAAAGGCGACAGCGACGACGACGGCGCCTTCGCAGCTCATCCGCGCCGCTGTCGGAGCTCCCGCTGCCCAGCAGGCTCTTGCGCACCTCTTTTGGGGGGCGGTCAGGGGGTGGTGAGGTTCACCAGCTCGTCGCGGGTGGGGGAATGCGGAAGGCCCCGGCATCTGGCGAATTGGGCATCTCGACCCGGCGTTTTTTCAACGTCAGCCGACGGGGGCCGCTGTCGGCCCTCAGCATCTGAAAGACATGATTGGAGCCGCACGACTGCCCCAAAAAAGGTCGAGACATCTGGGGCCTGCGGATTCGAACGAAAAGACTATTCGACGCGGAGATCTCCGAATATGGACTAGAACCTAAACGCGCGCTACACGCGCGCTCAGGTTCTAGCCGACTCCGAAGACGCTGTCCATGGGCATTACGTGAGCCCTGCAGCGATGAATTACTTAACTAAACTCCTCCCTGTGACACCCCCAGCGGGCCGGGCGTTTCATATGAGACTCCCTCGCCACATCTGATCCTGAAACTTGAAGTTTGCAACAGCTGCACGGATGGAGGGGCGGGTCCTTTTCAGAATGTGGCTCTCGCCTTCGGGCCGCGCACAGTCGTCTTAGAAGTTTCCACAGCTTCACGGATGGAGGGTGGGTCTTCTGGGGGGCCCAAAAAATATACACCACCACCACCTCCCTCCCCCGTGGCTTATGATGCTCCAACCTACTTTAGCCTTGTTCGCCAGGAAGAACTTCGAGCGCCCATGAGAGTACCGACGCTCAAGGGCTTTCACGTGTCGGGCCCCCGGAGACACTCGTCCAGACACTGCTTCGACACCCCTCTCGACACCCTCTCGACTCTCGACACTCCCCCGGGTGCCCGAACTCGTTTCTGGGACGTGGCCCTTGCGCACGAGGGGAGCAGCACAGCCTTTGGCGGTGGTGGTGCACAATCTTTGGGTCCCCGCCTTCCCCAAGGCGTGGCTTCGGCCTCCGCGCCGCGCACACTCCGCCCCAAGAGCTCGCCACGGCTCCGCGGGTCCGCCCGCCCGCTCGCTCGCCCGCCCACCGCCCGCCCACTCGTCACGGGCCCGCCCACGCGCGTGCGCACCGCCCGCCCGCCCGACCACCCGCACGCCCGTGCTCGCTCGCTCGCCCGCCCCACACGCGCCCTGGCTCGCCCGTCCTAATCGCCCGTCCCGTCGCCCGCCCAGTCGCCCGTCCACCCGCTCGCCCGCCCGCTCGCGCGCCCACTCGCGCGCGCGCACCCCGAGCCCGCGCGCCCGCCCGCGCGCCCGCCCGGTCGCCCGCCCGACCGCCCGCGCGCCCGCCCGCTCGGCTGCCCGCCCGCCCGCCCGCCCGCCCTGGCCGCCCTCCCGCCCGCTCGCCCAGGCGCCCACCCGCGCACGCGCCCGAGATTCCAAATGAGGACGACGACGACGACGACGACGAAACTTCGCGCAGATCCACTGGAAGGAAAATCAGAGGGGTGGTAGCGTCCGAGACCCACCCGCCCTTTCAAACGTGAGCCCGGGCCCCCCGCAAGCCCCGAAAATGGGGGGAATGGAACGGGTAGCCTCGGACCCCCCCCCCCCTCCTTGACTGGCGACCCCCTTCTTCGCAAAGGGAGGCAGGGAGGGAGATAGCTTCTGAAGAGCCCCCCCTTGCTCACCCTGGAAGCCTCAGGGGGGAGGGGGGTCAAGCTTCCGAAGCCCCTCCTTTACAGCAATGGAGGGGGAGGGAGCTTCCGGAGCCAGCCCCCTTGCAAAGGTCAGCCCAGGCGTACCCCCAGCCCCGATAATAAAGGCCTCCTAGATGGGGTCGGAGCAGGTGGGGTCGGAGGATCGCGTCGCATCGCCGATACATCGGCGGTGCATCGGCGGTGCATCGGCGACGCATCGGCGATGCGCCGGCGATGCATCGTCGACGACGGCGATGCATCGGCGACGACGACGTGAAGCAAATGGGGCTGCACATCGAGCCGCATCGGCAGCGCATCGGCGATACCGTGCGATCCTCCGACCCCGGCTACTCCGATCCCGTCTAGAAGACCTAGAGCGGGGGGAGGGGGGGTGTACCTTCGGAAGCCCCCCCCCTCCCCTCTTGAAAGGAGAGAGGGGGGGTAGCTTGAAGCTGGGGGTCCCCTTTTGTTCATGCCGTCTCCCGCAACGCGCTCTCTCCCATCGGTACACTTTCGTTCCTGACAGTTCCGTCTGTGTGTGTCTGAGTGAGAATATTGGCCTGTGGCGACTGCGCGATCTCAGGCGGCTCCACCTTGGAGGGCCCTACCGCTACACCTGCTGCATCGGAATGCTCCTGGAGCTCTGAGAGGCCAGGGGTCGGGGACACAAACCAGCGTTTCGTCTGACTCGCCCAACCATGCCCCATGATCTCTGCCCTGAAAGCAAGAGACCCACAGCCACGAAACGAGCGCCTCCTCGAGACATCCCCACAGGCTGGCCGCGAGCGGGCCCGCGCAACACGCCTGGGGCGCCCCCCCACCCTGTTGGGGTGATGAACCAAGCGCCTCGCTCAGGACATCCTCACAGTCTGCACTGCAAGCAGAGGAACCCCAGCCACGAAGCGAGCAAACCGCCCAGGACATCCCTGCCATCTGGCCGCTGACAGGCGAGTGCAACACCCTCCGGCGGTTCCCCACGGGGCTGCCAAAACAAGCGCCTCGCCCAGGCCGCCCAACACGATCTGCTCGGAAGCAGAGGGGTCTCAGCCACGAGACAAGCAAATCGCCCGAGGCGTCCCCACAATCTGGCCGCGAATGGGGCGAGTGCAACACCACCTATGAGTGCGAGTGAGCCTGTGAGTGCATCTGAGTGTGAGTGCCTATGTATGAGTGGCACCAAGCATGGCTGGGTCTGAGCGTGAGTGAGTCCGAGTGTGGACGAGTCTGAGTGCGAGGGGGGTGAAGGCCTCACACGAATAACAAGAACCCCATGCTTCGGATGTGGAGAAGACAAGAGCACGCAACATCGGCTGGCTGGAGGGGGGGAGGGAGGGGGAGATGGGGAAGAAGGGAGGATGAGGGGAGAGGCTCCTGTTCCTGCTCCCTCCCTCTCCCTCGCCCCCACATCCCTCCCTCCCTCCTCGATCCCCCTCCCTCCTCGTGGAGGCGCACCGGCCGTGCACTGGTCGTGGCAGGGCCGTCCCCCGGAACTCCGGGGAGTTCGTGGGGAAACCAAAAGGTACCGATACCGCTGCTCCCCAGACCTCTCCCCCAGTGAGCTCCGACAAGGACTTCGAGGCGACTCCAGCGGTGGCGACGAGGGCCTCCGAGGAGGCCCAAAAAAGGCGAAAACAAGTGGAGCGTAGCGGTATGGGTACTTCTCCTCCGCTGAATTCGGCCACCCTGGGCGCCTTCTCTCTGAACCACTTCACGGGGGGCTCCTGCTCCCGCTGCACGGGGGGCAGAGCGCCGCACGAGACGCTGAAGCCGTGACCCGGAGCGCAGCGCGGGCCCTGGCTCTTCCTCGGCGTGGCTCGCCGTCGTCTTCGTCGTCGCAGCCGTCGTCGTCGCCGCCGTCGCCGTCGCCGTCGGGGGGAAGGGGGAGGACAGGAAGGAGGGGTGGCGGGAGAAGAAACGAGAAGGTAGGGGGGAGGAGCAGAAAGGGGGAGGGGGGGAGAAGTATGGGGACATGAGAGGAGGATTGAGATGGCTCTGAATTGATTCTGCAGCCAAACTGGCAGCCAGACAAGGATGGGGGAGCAGAAGAACGGAGAAGAAAGAAGAGCAGGAGCGATTCCCAAACGCACCCTGCGACTGCTTTAGAAAAGGAACGGAGGGAGCGAGGGAGAGATGGAGAGAGAGAGAGAGAGAAAACAAAAAGAGAGAGAGAGAGGGGGAGAGAACAAAAAAAGAGGGAAAGCGGGAAGGAAGGGGAAGAATGGGGGAAGAATGGGGAAAGCACTGCCTTTCTCATCCTCGATTCCTTACCCTTATAAATAACTTCTCCCTGCAGCACCCCGAGGCTGGTCGAGCGGGTCGTGCCTTTCTCCTGAAACTGCCGTACCATATACGATCCTGAATCTTAACAACAGTTTGGCACATGGAGAGCGGGCCGCTTCACAAATGTGGCTCTCGCCTTAGCGCCGCACAAACTCATTTAAAAAACTGAAAGAAATTCACGGATTGAGCACCAGTCGTTTTCAAAATGTGGCTCTCGCCTTAGCACCGTGCAAAGTCGTTTCAAAAGTCGCGAGAGTTTCACGGATTGAGGGCGGGGCGTTTTCAAAATGTGGCTCTCGCCTAAGCGCCGCGCACATTCGTCTGAAACATTTGCAAGAGTTTCGCGGATTCCCGTGTCAACGAACTAGAAACAGCGTTCGGGAGAGATTCTGGATTGTCAGGGCGCACCAGTGACGTTGATTCGCGGTGTTGAAGTCCCAAGAATGGTTTCTGGCACGACTCAGGCTCGTCAAGACGCAGCAGTCTGGTTGATTCGTAGAGTTGGAGTCACGGGAAATGTGTTTTGGCACGCTTCAGGACCTTCAAGCATTTGTCTCGCAACGGGGCACTTCCCTCAGTGGGAATAAATACTCGTGGGGGCCTGAGAGGAAGGAGCTTCGAGGGAGGGTGTATTTCAACATCGCTGATGAGTCTTGGGCTTAGACTGGTTCTCCTATTCCTCCTCCTCCTCTTCCTCCTCGCCCTCCTCCTCCTCCCTCCTCCTCCTCCTCCTCCTCTTCCTCCTCCTCCTCATCATCAGCAGCAGCAGCATCAGCATTAGCATTAGCATCATCATCATCACCAGCATCAGCACTAGCATCATCATCGGTAGCAGCGTCAGCATCAGCATCATCATCATCAGCAGCATCAGCATTATCATCATCACCCATGTGATCATCATCCTTATCCTCCTGACCATCAGCATCAACACCACCATCTACATCAGAATCGTCAGCGTCATTATCATCATCACCACCACCATCAGCATCAGCATCGTGGTCCCCAACATCGTCTGCAACATCAGAAAGAGCGAGAGTGAGAAGGAGAAAGAGAGAGAGGGAGAGAGAGAGAGAGAGAGAGAAATTGAGAGGGTGAGAGAGAGAGAGATCAATATATGTATATATATATATAAATAAATAAATAAATAAATAAAGAACGAACAATTCACAGAGAAAGAGGAACTGACAGAAAGAGAGGGAGAGAGAGAGAGAGAAAGCGAGAGATGGAGAGAGAAAAACACACAGACTTCACAACACCAAAACAACGTCTTTCACAGGCGGTATGCTGCTTGGGGCAAAATGCCCCCCCCCTCCCAGAACTCACCCACCCGCCCTCGAAAATCCCACACCTTCCTTCAGAAATGACCCCCGCCCCTTCAAACGAGAACCCCCCTTCCCTAACACTCCCCCCCCCGCCCGCTTGAAGGCGGGCCACCCCCCACTTGCGCGCCAGCAAACGACGACGAAGATAACGACGACAGAAACAACGACGACGACGACGACGACGACGACGACGCTGCCGAGGACGAGGGCGAGGACGAGGGCGAGGACGAGGACGAGGACGACGACGACGACGGCAACGACAGGACGACGACGACGACGACGACGACGACGACGACGACGACGACGACGACGACGACGACGACGACGACGACGACGACGACGACGACGACGACGGCGGCGGCGGCGGCGGCGGCGGCGGCGGCGGCAACGGCGGCGACGACGACGACTAGACGACGACGACGAAAGCGACGACGACGGAAGCGACGAAAGCAACGACGACGAGCGTAACGACGACGACGACGAACGCAACGACGACGAAAGCAACGACGGCGAACGCAGCGGCGACGACGACGACGACGACGACGACGACGGCGGCGGGGACGGCGATGGCGACGAACGCAAAAACGACGACGACGACGACGACGACGACGACGACGACGACGACGACGACGACGGCAGCGGCGGCGGCGGCGGCGGCGGCGGCGGCAACGGCGGCGACGACGGCGACGGCGACGGCGACGAGGTCCCTGCCCCCGCGGTTCCAACCATGATCCCCCAACCCGTGGCCCCTCCGCGGTGGTTCGTCCACCCCCCCCTCCGTGGTCCACCCCGCCGCGGTCCCCCACCCATCACCCCGCGGTCCCCGGTCTGTGGCCCCAGCCCCCCCGCGGTCCCCTCCCCGCGGCCCCCCTCCCCGTGGCCCCCCCCGCCCCATATGGTCTCTCGCGCCCTCGTCGCTCCCCCGCGGCCCCCCCCCCCCACCTGCGATCCCTCGTGCGCGGTCCCCGTCTCCGTGGCCCCGCCCCTCCCCCGCGGTCTCCTCCGCCCGCTCCCCTCAAACCGCGGCCTCTCCCCCGCGTCCCCCCCCCTCCGCGGGGTGCCCGCCCGTGGCACCTCCCTCCGCGGCCCCACCGCCCCCGGCGGCCCCCTCCCCCCCGCGGCCCTGCGATGCCTCCTGCGCGCGCTGCCTCGGCCCCTCGGCCGCGCGCGCCTGATCCCCCCACCCCCCGGGGCCCCTGCCCCGTGCTCCCGTGGTCCCTTCTGCGCGGCCCCTCCCCGTGGGCCCTGCCCGCGTGGCTCCTGCCCGCGCAGGCCCCTCGACGCGTCGGGCGGGCCCCCGGAACAAAAAAGGCCCCGCGGCGACACGCGGGTCCCCTTGGAAGCACTCCGGAGGCCTACGGTGCCGTCGAGTGTCGTCGCCTCCGTCGTCGTACTCGTCGTCAGGTTCGTCGTGCTCGTCGTCGTTCTCGTCGTCGCACCCCCGCATTCGCACTCCTCGCAGTGCTCGTCGAAGGAGGAGAGGGGAAGCCAAGAAAGAAGAAAGGAAAGGAGGACGGGAAGACGAAGGGCACCCATACCGCGTGGTCCTGATACCGTACCAGCACCAAGACTGCGTGGTCCTGGTACCGTATCACACCGTGGCCATGATGTTCTGGAGGCGAGGAGGATGGGCTGGGGAACGAGTGCGAAGGCAAGGATGACGAGGACCCGAGGAGAGTGCTGAAAGGACGAAGGCGGGCCACAAAAAAAAGATGACAAACTGGGAAGGGCTGGCCATGTCCGAACGCGACACACAAAAACCGCCGAACCACACAGAACAGGACAATGCAATTCACGACACCGAACCGAACCAGAAAGGCTCACGGCTCCGAAGCGAAGCGACCTGGAGGCGTTTCCGAACATGATCAAGTCGAGCCGAACCAGAGCCTTCCTACCATCATCATCATCATCATCATCATCATCATCATCATCATCATCATCATCATCATCAGCATCATCATCATCATCATCATCATCATCATCATCATCATCATCATCATCATCATCATCAGCAGCATCATCATCATCATCATCATCATCATCATCATCATCATCATCGTCATCGTCATCGTCATCGTCATCATCATCATCCTCATCATCATCAGCATCATCAGCATCAGCATCAGCATCATCAGCATCACCATCATCATCAGCATCATCAGCATCATCAGAAGCTTCATCATCATAATCATCATCATCATGATCATCAGCTGCAGCATCACCACCTCCACCAACAACAGCACCAGCAGCAGCAGCAACAACCACCACAACCACACCCACACATACGACAACAGCAACAACAACAACGAGAACGACAACGAGAACGACAACAACGACAACAACGACAACAACAACAACAACAACAACAACAACAACAACAACAACAACAACAACAACAACAACAACAACCACAACAACAGCGACAGCAACAGCAACAACAACAACAACAACAACAACAACAACGACGATAACTACAACTACCATAGCAACAACAAAAACAGCAGCAGCAAGACCCTCATCAATCGTCGTCATCATCGTCACACCACCACCACCATCCGCCTCCTCCCTGCTGCTCCCCTCCTTCCTTCCTCCCAGGCCCTCTCCCTGAGCTGCTCGGAGTCGCCGTGGTGCTCTCCCCCCCTGCCCACGCGACGGCGCCGCGTCGGGCTCCGAGCACTTCGGACGGAGTCCCATGTGAAAGACTACGGGGCGGAGCGAGCGGAAGGGCGGGACTGCAACCCACCGCCTCGCGCGAGTACGCGTGGGTGCCCGGCCCCAGTGCGCACAACGCCAGGGGGGCGCCGTGGTATCTGGAGTTGGCCCAGCAGCCGCCCGCCTTCAGCACGCGTGCGGAGGGAAGCGCCAGCGGCATACGGCGGGTTAACGCCGCGAAGACGTCGGTGATGGCCTCTGGCACCGCCAGGACCGTTCAATTCTCAATGATCGCGCCGCGGCTTTCCAACTCCTAAACCACCTGAGCGACAATCAGAAACGGGTCTTACGCGACCTCACACGGTGGCTTGCCGAGGCCGCCAGCGCGGCACGCCACATTGGAGACCAGAGCGCTGACGCTCGACCTTACGCGGGCAGCTCACGTGCCAATGTCGGCGCAGACGACCCCGCGTTCTTCCGTCGACTACCTGCGCTGCACCGCGTGAAACGTGCATCCTTGAGCGATCTCCGCTCCCAAATGCCCCCCAGCGGCGGCCGACCCAACCTTCGTACGGCATTGGAGCGGCGGCGGTGATTATCGGCGGTGGACAAACCTCCCTTGAGCGGTGATCCCTGACTTTAGGTCGGGCCTGTCCTCCTACAAGGGGATCTTGGACGAAAAATTAAAAATAGCCAAAAAAATGCCCCAAAACGATCAAAAAGTAGTCATGGGACAGGCCCCTGTCGAGGGACAGGCCCGACCTTACCCCCGACTTCACGCATCGCGCCCCGCGACGCGCGGTGCGCGGACACGCTCGCGCCCTCGCGGCCCTCGCGCCGCCCGCCCCGGCAGAGGGCGCCTGCTTCGTGGCCCGGGCCACGGCGCGCACGGCGCGATGTCATCTTCGCACCCCCAGGGGGGGGGCTCCAGACTTCCGCCGAGCGATCGACGTCACCCGATAAGACGAAGCCAGGACGAGGACAACATCGAGTGAGGATGCATCGAGGATGGCTGGAAGACGCATCGGGCGCAGCGGCCTCCTCGGAGCGCTCGGGAGCGCTCTCGAGCGATCGACGTCGCCCGATAAGACGAAGCCAGGACAAGGATGACATCGAGTGAGGATGCATCGAGAATGTCTGGAAGACGTATCGGGCGCAGCGGCCTCCTCGGAGCGCTCGGGAGCGCTCCGAGAGCGTCCCGGCACGCTCTGGAACGGACTCTGATCCTCGCCCCAGCCCCGCCCGAACCGATTCTGGGCCACTGACGTTAAGTCGGGCGTGTCCCCCTACAGGGGGATTTGAAACGAAAAATGAAACATACCCAGAACATGCCCTTCAAAAGGCCCCAAGATGGCCCAACAAATCGTCCCCAGACCATTTGTTCGACTATCTTTGAATATCCCCCCCATAGTTTTGACTATGTTTGCATGTGTCTTTTTTAGCTATTTTAATTCTTCCAAAATCCCCCTGTCGAAGGACAGGCCCGGCTCAACCCTGGCGGGGCTCCACCCGTGACTACCTACCAGACCACCCCAACCCAACCCGAAGACCCGAATTTCGGGTTGGGGGGGGTAAGGGTTCAACAAGTGTTTTTTCGATGTCTCCCGACCCCCCCCCCCACTGGAAGTGGAGGGCAAATCGGGGCCTTCGGGTTGGGTTGGGGTGGGTTGGTGGGTTCGGGAGCGGCCAAGAGGGGGGTGTCCAAGAGGGGGGGGTGCAAATCATGACCGGCGGCATGTGCGCGGCCCAGCGGGGGGGCCAGGAACGTAATGAAATAAGAAGAGGCGCCATGAAATCAGGGGAAATATCATGGCCGACGCCATGATATCTACCCCCCCCTAGTCATCACCCCCCTCTTTTCCGCCCCCGATGGGTGGTGAACCCGGAACGCCCGCGCCGGGGCCACCGCTGCGCCGCCCTCGGCAGCAGCGCGGCCTCGCAGGCCACGGGCGCGCCCCGGCCCGCAGCGCCCCGAGGGCAGGCCGAGGGCGGGGACCGGGCGGCGGCCGCCGCGCGCGCGCACGGCCACGCGGGGCCGACCGGCGGCGGCGCCCGGGGGGGGGGGCACCCGGACCTTCCAGAGTGCTTAAAAATAGCACTCCAGACCCATAGATCTATCTGGACTGCCTCAAACCTCGACAGGAATCAGGACGTCGACGTCCTGGTGTTATTCTTTAGCCCTCCTGAAGGTCAGGGCAAGAGGGGGCGGGCCCTCTCGGGAGGCGGCGGGGCTGCCCAGAGGCCCTCCGACCTTCTGAAGGGGCCGCCCCTCGGCAGGGGGAGACACATGATACAAAGATCCCCAAATGCTGTATCGCCGCAGCTTTCTGGTTCCGGCGCTGGGGAAGGCGTGGCCACGGCCTCGCGTCCTGACGCGTGAGGCGCCGGACCTCTGGCATAGCCTTGAGTCGTGCTGCAAAAAAGCCCGGGGGGGGGCAAGAGGGGGCGGGCCCTCTCGGGAGGCGGCGGGGCTGCCCAGAAACCCTCCGGCCTTCCGAGGGGCCGCCTCCGCCTTCGGGGCAGGCTGGGGGAGACTTCTGGGAAGGCGCGGGAGCTGCTGAGCCTCCCGAGCCCGCTGCCTCCCGATGCTCCCCCAGGGCGCGCCGCCGACTGGTCGAGCTGGTCTCGTGGCGGGCCAGCAGGCGCAGGAGCCTCGATCGCAGGACTTCGGGGAGGCCCCTGCGAGCCCGACAGGGCGCCTCGGCCTCGCGGAGGGGTTCGTGGGACACCTGGTCCTACGCGGCGAGGGTGCTGTCGGAGCCAGCTGTTCTGAGCGCCTTGACACAGGCTCGGAGGCCGGCCAGAGCAGAATCGGGGGAGCAGGAGGAAGGAGAAGGAGGAGGGAGAAGGAGGAGGAGGAGGAGGGAGAAGGAGGAGGAGGAGGGAGGAGGAGGGAGGAGGAGGAGGAGGAGGGAGGAGGAGGGAGGAGGAGGGAGGAGGAGGGAGGAGGAGGGAGGAGGAGGGAGGAGGAGGGAGGAGGAGGGAGGAGGAGGAGGAGGAGGAGGAGGAGGAGGAGGAGGGGGAGGAGGAGGTGGGTGGGGGACGTTTTGACGGCGGCGTGGGCATCAGCAGCGGCGGCGGCGGCACGCCCAAAGCGCAAGCGCATTGGGCCATGGCGCCGCGGCGGAGAGAACGGGCAGTGCCCCGCGTGGGCTCGCGCGGGCAGTGCCGTGCCGGGCCCAAGCAGGGGGCGAGCGGCGCTAGACCTCAGCTCGCCTCGCCCCCGTGGAGCCGCAGAGCGGAGAAGGGAGGGGAAAGGGCAGGAGAGGTACTGCATTCGCGCCGCGCCAGAAAAATTGAGCGCCTCCACTTCGAGGAGCTCCAGTACCGTCGCGCTGAGGACGGCGGGGGAGTTCCCCAGCACCACTTACACTGAGACGACGACATGATTGTCGTCTCGACACTTGTCTGCCGCCACTCGTCCGTCAACGATTAAGGAGACGAGAAGAAGGGAATCCGCCGAACCTGTCGGCGTGTGGAAACGCTCTGCCGTCGGTCGCGGTCGTCGTCGTCGTCGTGTCGTCTCCGTCATCTCCTCGTCATCTCTGTCGTCGTCTCCGCCTTCGTCTCCGTCTCCGTCTCCGTCAGTCGTCGTCTCAGTCGTCCCCCGTCTCCTTTCCCTGGGCCCTCGTCGTCGTGTCGTCTCCGTCGTCTCCTCGTCGTCTCCGTCGTCGTCTCCGCCGTCTCCGTCGTCGTCTCCGTCAGTCGTCGTCTCCGTCAATCGTCGTCTCCGTCGTCCCCCGACTCCTTTACCTGGGCCCTCCTCCTTAAGCGCGCCAGCCAAACCGACATTGAGCAACGTCGTAATTAGATGAGTCGAAGGGAAAACCCTTCAGTTTGATCCCCTCCCCGCTGGGGGGGGAGTCCTGGGGGAGATCGCCCCCCAGATACGCATCCCCCCGGGCGGTTCGGGGGCCCAGACAAGCCCCAGAGTGCCCCAAGAGGTCCCCAAGATGGTCCTTGCGGGCCCCGAATCGCCGAATGATCGGTCCAAGACGCCAAAGTAGCCTCCAGATGGCTCAAGAGGTTTTCACAACGCCCCAAGAGGCCTCCAAGAGCACTCCCAAGAGGGCCCCCAGAGCAAATATCAAAGATGTTCCCTCAGTTTTTGAAAGAATGTGGCGTTCTCGCCTTGTCGGCTTCCCGACGCTCCAAGACAGCCCAAGAGGGCCCCTAGATCGCCCAAGAGGCCTCCAAGAGGGCCCCAAAACGACCCAAGAAGCCCCCAAGACCGCCAAAGAGGCCCCCAAGACAGCCAAAGAGGCCCCCAAGACGGCTCCAAGAGGGAGCCCAGACGGGGGACCCGAACGGACATTTCGACCCCTCGCCCTGAGAGGCTACCAGGAAGTCCCCAGATGCCCCCAAGAAGACCCCCAAGGGGCCCCAAGAGGCCCGCAAGAGACACCCAGGAAGCCCCAAGAGGCCCCCACGAGGCTCCCAAGAGGCCCCCAAAAAGCCTCCCAAGAGACCCCAAAGCTACCCCCAAGAGGCCCCCGAGAGCGCTCGTCGTCATCGTCGTCGTCGTCGGCGTCGTCGGCGTCGTCGGCGGCGTCGGCGTCGTCGTCGTCGTCGTCGTCGTCGTCGTCGTCGTCGTCGTCGTCGTCGTCGTCGTCGTCGTCGTCGTCGTCGTCGTCGTCGTCGGCGTCGACGTCCGCGTCGGCGTCGGCGTCGGCGTCGGCATCGGCGTCGGCGTCAGCGTCGTCGTCGTCGACGTCGATCAGGGTCGCTGGTACGGCCGTAAGGCCATTACAATAATGTTACCCTGGCGACGTACCCAACCCATCTACAACAAATGACCAGAAAAATGGGCCAAAGAGTACGGATGATGGCATGGCAAGGATCGCGGTGTGTTGTGAAAGCTGAGAGGGAGGCTCGCGCGTTGCAAGGCCCATAGGAGAGATGTGCGTGAGGCAGTAATTACAGCATTGCACAGGTAGAAGCAGACGGACAGACTACGATGACCACGAGCGGAAACGTGGTAGACAGATATAGGAACAGATGGCAGGCGGGAGCGCGAGGGGGAAGAGTGAGAGAAGGACCAGGAGCGGAAGATGGGGAGTAAAATCTTGGAGGGGAGGATGAGGGAAGGCAGGAAGAAGCGGAAGGAGACAATAGGCTGGATTTCTCTGGGGCGGCCCGAAAACAGCGACCGTTTCGCAGCTGACGCTCCCACGAATCGGCGGGCATGCCGGCGAGGCGGCCGCTGTGCAGACGCTGAGACGGGGCCCGCCGCGCCGCGCGCGGGTCCGAAGGACGACCGTGTGAAGTACGCCGAAATTGACGCGGGGACACGATGCAGACACACCCACTGGGGCCACTGCGCTCGACCTCCCAAGAACTCACGATCCTGGCGAAGGTTGCGCAGCTGCGAGCCCCCAAGGGGCGGGCGAGGTGCCGCCTGAGGCTCTGCGTGGGGCACCACTCCGCCGGACCTCCCAGGAGCCCCCGAGGAGTGGCGGCACTTGCGCAGCTGCCAGCCCCCCCCCATGGAGGTCGAGATCTCGTCTGGATCTGCGCAAACTACCGCCCCGCCAGACCTCCCAAGAGCCCGGCCCACGAAAGCAGCACCATTGCCAGCCCCCGAGGGGAGGGCGAGGCCTTGCCTGGATCCACCTGTGACACCGCTCCGCTGGCCCTCCAAGGAGCCCACGAGGAGTGGTGACAGATGCGCAACTGCCAGCTCCCACGGGAGGGCGAGATCCCGTCTGGATCTGTGTTCGGCTACACGTAAGAGTGACCCTGGGTAAGATGACCTTTGGTGCGCAGCTTTGGGGGGCCGCGGGGAGGCCAAATCCAGGCGCGCTAGCCGCTGCTACCGCTTCGCGTTCAGCCATCTGGGGGCCCATCTGTGCCCGCACCAAAGGTCACTCCGGCGAAAGGTCACTCTTACGTCTAGTTGATGTGTAGGCGACACGACTCCGCTGGGCCTCCCAGGACCCGACGAGAAGCGGCGACGGAGGCGCGGCGGCCGGCCCCCCCCCCCGGGGGAGGGCGAGGTGCCGCCCAGATCTGCGCGGGACGACACGACTCCGCCAGAGTTCCCGGGAGGCCACGAGAGTGGCAACGGCTGCGCTGTTGCCAGCCCCTGCCCCCCCCCCCCAGGGGAGGGCGGGGTCCCGCCTGGATCTGCGCGGGACATCGCAGCGTTGTTGCCCCGCCTGGATCTGCGCGGGGCACCACTCCGCTGCGGAAACAGCGACAGTTGCGCAGTTGCCAGACCCCCAGAGAGGGCAAAAGTCTCGCTACTCCGCTGGATCTCCCAGGAGCCCACGAAAGTGGTGACCGTTTCGCATATCACAGCCCTCCAGGGACGTAGGAGGCAGACAAGAAGCAGGACGCAGAGCGGAGCCATGAGGAGAGAGGGGCTGGAGGAGGAGGAAGGAAGGAGCCAGCAACGCTCTGTTCACAGGAGAACCCAACTGGAGTGAGAAAGAGCACGAGGAACATGCATAGAACGAGGACGAATGCGACCAGGAAGCCTGGGCCGCGAATGATGATCGCAATGCCTCGTCAGGAGGGACAGGAGGAAAGGTGTTGTGCAGTGCACCACACATCGGCCGACGTCGACCGAAGGAAGGGTAGGAAGAGGACGGGGGACGAGCGCAGAGGGAGAACGAGAGCCCGGGGCGTCGCAGGCGCCAGAAGAGTCCCAAAATGTCTCACCGCGGACGCCTGGGCAACGTGCCAGCCGTGCACAGCACATCGTGCGACACGAAGCCCCAAGCTGGTGCACCTGAAGCGACGCGAAGCCCTGCCCAGTCATGGGCGCCACGGCTCTGAGAGGAGCAGAGTGGAGGAACAAAGTGTTGCTGCGCCGTGCACTGCAACATCAGGCGAAGGCCCCTGCTATTAGAAGCAAGCGATATGTGATCAGAACGCCTTTCAAAATCGCGGGCCACACTGGTCTCGTGTAAGTACGCTGTTTAGCAGATGGACTAAAATTTGAAAAGACCGCCTGGCCTTATGGGGTGAGCGCACGAGGAGAACCGCGGGCCACGCGCAGCCGAGGGCAGGGTGTGGCATTCACCGCGGAGGCACAGAGAGGGGAGGCCTCGGGCCGCGGAAGACTGAAGGCAAGATGCGGCGCTCACCACGGACCGCGGAGGGGAGAGACGCACGATGGGGCCCGCCTGGGGTGTGGGGACCTGGGACAACCGAAGGCGCGATGCCGGCACTCGACCCCGCCCCGCCCTCCCCACCCCACCTTGCAACGACCGGGGACCATACATCTATCAACTGAGCAGGGAAATTAATTACACGACAAAGGCGAAGCCAAGGCAAGCCTATGGCAGCTTCGCTCCAACTGCTGAAATCGATCTCAATGAGAAAAAAGCCGACTGTGTTGGCAATGCGCTCTAAGTGTGTCGGCGTGAATCGGTTCTGCGCGATTCGTCTCAGCAGCTTGCGATCATACTTTGAGGCAAATCGCGCCGAGAGCCGCCGATAGAATGCTTCAAAAGCCGCCGCCTGGTGTGGTCTCGAAGGCCGGCAAGCTACACAGCGGGCACCTGCCATGGGAGCTGCTCCGAAGCCACTTGTACATACACTCCGCATGGAAATCCGCCGACTCCATTGGGTTCATTGGTGTGTGAGATCGGATGCCCCCGCCCCAAATCCATACCTGGTAAGCTGCCCAAGTACATCCCTGGTAAACTCTGAAGGAGGGGATTAGGGCGAGTGATTTTAGTTCGCCGCTAGAAGCTCCGTGTGGCCTTGCAGAGTGCGAAGACAGCTCCAAATACATCCCCGATGACTGCAGAGAGCGCCAGATGTTCCCCAAAGTCCCTCGTGCCCCCGACGGCTTCCTGGACCCTCTGGAAACGCCGATAGCTGCTCAGAGGCTGGCACGATGCCCCCAAGACGCTTCCGACGCGCGCGACCAAGACAATGAACTCTCTGCGCTTTACCCGATGAGGCGCAGCCCCAGCCTTTCCTAGGTTCCCTGGTTCCAGACGGCCAGGGTCATCGCCCCTAGGTGGGAAGACCCCATTACCCGGCTCGTTCAATATGATCCAGCTCAGTGCCCCGAAGATATCCCAACCCGCGAGCAGCATTGCAATTCGATGCAATGTAAATGCGGTGCGAAGCAACGCAACGCAATGCATAGCAAAAGTGAGCTAAGCTACACGAAGCGCTGAAATGCGAATCAATTCCACGCATAGTGATGCGAAGGAGTGCGAGGTGCCACAACACAGAGCAATGCAAAGCAAATCAACGCAGGCTGGGTCGAAATGTCCAGAAGTGTCATACACAGCGATGCAATGTAATGCAGCACATTACAATGCGATGTTATTCAAAACGGAGCCAAGTACATCATGGCGAGTCTAAGCAAGCAACGCGCTACGATCATCAAGCCTCAAAGCAAGGCAGAGCAAAGGAAAGCCAGAAAGGCACAGTCGAGCGTAGGTCACCGTGTCCCACAGTCGAGCAGCGTGCCCTGGGATGTCTAGAAGTGCTGGCAGCGTCGAGCTTGCCCCCAGCTCGCACCTGGTCGAGCTTCGCATCGCAGTCGTGCCCACCCGGCCTCTGCAAGCCCTCCAGAGGGCCCCGAGATGCACCGGGAGGGGCACAAAGGAGAGGCCCCTCCGACGGCGCAGCCCCGCAGGCTCCACGAGGGCCCCCGGGGGAGGCCTCCGGGGATGCTCCGGGGCGGCCCCGAGGGGCCCAAGGATACTTCGAGGGCAGGGCGGAGGAGGAGGAGGAGGAGGAGGAGGAGGAGAAGAAAGAGCAGGAATAAGAAGACGAAGAAGACGAATCAGAAGAGGAGAGGAGGAGGAGGAGGAGGAGGAGGAGGGGAGGAGGAGGAGGGAGGAGGAGGAGGGCGGGGGGCCCCGAGGCCGGGAGCCCTCGACGCGAGCGGGGGGGGGGGGGCGGGGCGCTAGAGGGGGGCGGGCCTCCGAAGAGAGCGGGGGGGGGGGGGCAAGACTTGGCCCCCGGGCCCGCCCCCCCCCCCCCAGGCCGACCGCGCCCCCCCCCTCCTCCGCGCGCACGGCGAGGGGGGGGAGGCCCTCGGGGTGGCCCTCCCCTGACCTTCCAGGAGGGCTAAAAAAATAGCACCCGACCTAAAAACCTATCCTAGAGCTATTCTACGTCTTGGTTTTAGGCTGTTTCGCTTGGTTTTTTTGGTTTTTAGGCCTCCAGTGCTAAAAAATAGCTCTCTGGAAGGTCAGGGTCGGGGTGGCCCGCGGCCGGCGCGAGCTGGCTCCGGGCGGTCCACGACTCGGAAGGGGCCCTGGGGCACACAAAGAAATACACACAAAGAAACATACTCCCCATACTTTCCCATGTTTTCCCTGGGTTTTTGTCTTCCCCCCACTTCCCATATGTTCCCATACTGTCTGGGGAATCGCCGATGAATTGTGTCTGTGTGTGCGTCTTTCCCTCCTGAGACTCGGCCCCCGCGGCGCACGCACGCCCGCGGAAGAGACTGCGCCGGGCGGCAGCGCCCTCCTGGCCCGGCGCGCCTTCTGCTCCGCCGCCGCCTGCGCTTCCCATCGGCGTCGGTCGTGGACTTGCCGATCGGAAGAGGTGCACAGGCCACAAACCTCCGTACGGCAGGTTCGTGTCGTGCCGACCCCAGCGTTGGTTTTTGAAACCGCAGGGATCGTTCAACCTTGAACGATCGGCCGTCTCCGCAACGTCCGATCGTTCAACATCGATCGATTCTGGGTCGCGGGCGGCGTTCAACCTTGAACGCCCGCGCTGGGGTCGCCGCTGGTCGACACGACGCAAACCTACCGTAGGTATCATGAGGTCTTGAATGTCCCCCGGCTGGCCCTTTGCTCTTCTGACTGTCCTTTCGACATCGCCAGTAGCTTGGGAGCCTCCGACCCGGACTAAGTTATACTCCTATGTTGAGGTCGCACGAGGCTTTCACGACTCCTTCGAGTGCCGCATGGATAACTCCCCATCGCTTTGAGGATGACCCTCGTGGCCCGTGAACAAAACACATCACAAAACAGCTTCACGGAGTACGGATCCATGACATGTCTGAAGCAAACTCGGTTCCAAGTGAACTTTGCGCCCCGGCAGTGCATGGCGATGATTGGATTACCCCTGCACCATCTCCTTTCTTCCCACTCACCACATGTAGTCCACTAAGGTCACTGGCATACCCTGCCCCCGCGTCAATAAGTTGTTCTTGTGGGGTCCCCTCCTGTCTTTGCCTGTTAACGGTTTGACTCCTCCTCATCATCATCATCATCATCATCATCATCATCATCATCATCATCATCATCATCATCATCATCATCATCATCATCATCATCATCATCATCATCCCTCTCCTCCTCCTCCTCCTCCTCCTCCTCCTCCTCCTTCTCCTCCTCCTCATCCTCCTCCTTCTATCCTCCTCCTCCTCCGCCTCTTCCTCCTCCTGGCGTAGCCAAGCAGTCTTCAGATTCCGTCGGGTGGCCCCCGAGACACTTCTGACGGCCTGGCGACACCGATCGGGCCCATAGCGCCCCTCCCCCCCAGAGATCTCGACGAAGCGCTGCGCCACAGATCGAGAACCACCCCAAAACCCCCTGAGACCCCGAGATTATCCCACACAGAAAGCACTTGTCTGGCAGTCTCCCGCGAAGCGGTGTGAACCGTGGCGGCAGCGCAACTGCACCACGTTCTCGTCCGCCTGAAAGGCCTCCAAGCAGATGCAGCACTGATCCTTCGTGGCTCGCCGAGGGGAATGGACCGAGGGGGCGACCTTCCAAGCAAGCGAGGGGGGTTCTGGGGCCGGAGGTTTCCGAAAAGTCTTCTTGCAGGCGGGAGGGTTTCCGACCCCTCCCCTTCCCGCCACCCCCCCTCCCCCGATCCCCACGATGGACGCGAGGGAGGACTGTGCTTTGGCCGCGCGCAGAGGAAGAGCGACGGGGGGCGGCATTACAAGAAGGCGCGGGGGGGCCTCTCGCGAGAGATCGGAGCTTCCAAGAAGGCATGTTTGTGAAGGCGGGAGGGCCCCTGAGACACGCCACGCATCCTCAGAACGCCAACTCCCTCGCCCCGCTCCCAGGAGAAAGACCGGTTCTAGACTTTGGCTTCTGGACCCCTCCTGGAGTCCGCCCTGGCCAATGTTTCAAGCCACGCCCACCCGCCACGACGACGAAAAAAACACGCCATGGTGTCTTGGCGCCGCATGGCAGGCGGGGCGCAGAGGGCCGCAAACCGCGTGGCGGGCGCGAGCCGCGTGCGGGGGGCGTGCCAGCATGGAGCGGGTATCGCACGCGGGCTGCGGGGGAGGCGCCTGCGGAGACGGCCGCTGGGGCCATCGGCGGAACTCCCCACGGGGCCACGAAGCGTGCGAGGGGCGTGCCGAAGCAGGAAGGGGAGGCGCGCGCGCGAGGTCGGCCGCAGTGATCTCCGGCGGGTGGAGCTCCTTCCTGGGGCCACGAAGCGCGCGCGGCGGGCGTGCCGAACTGGGCGGGGGGGGCGCATGCGAGCTGCGCCACTGGGACCTGCGGTGGAGGTTACCATGGGGCCATGAAACGTGTGAGGGGCGCGCCGACATGTGCGGCGCGGACACATGCGAGGTGCACCACTGGGACATTCGGTGGAGTTCCCTACGGGGCCACGAGCCGCGCGAGGGGTGTACCCACATGCGACCTGCACCACTGGATCTTCGGTGGCGCTCCCGATGGGGCCACGATACGCGTGAGGGGCGTGCCGAT